CTGCTGCTGCTGCTGCTGCTGCTGCTGCTGCTGTTTGCCCTTGTCCACCGAAGGGTCTCTGCATGTTCATGGGGGGCCCCTGGGGGGCCCCCTAACCCCTCAATATAATTTGGGGGGCCCCCAGGGTACAGTATAAACATAAACCCTCACCTGGGGGTTTAGTCTCCGCGCTATTGCCGCAGAATGCCCCCCGCCCCCCGCAGTGCAGTCAACAAACACTCGACGCCTGGGGGGCCCCCCAGGGGGCCCCTCGGTGGGGGGCCCCCCGGTGGGGGCCCCCTTGGTAGGGGGCCCCTCAGTGGCTAAGGGGCCCCCAAAGAGAAGATCAATGGATTCAGACAGCATGACGGGCCTGTGGAAATAGCTGTGTGCTGTCTCTGTTTGCTGCTGCTGCTGCTGTTGCTGCTGCTGTTGCTGCGGCTGTTCTTGTTCCTGCTGCTGCTGTGCTGCTGCTGCTGCTGCTGAGCCGACTGTTGCTGCTGCAGGTGTTAAAGGCGCACGAGACCCAAGTACCCTTAGACGTGGAGGGGCCCCCTCACCGGCTGCTGCTGCTGCTGCTGCTGTCCTGTGGGGCCCCCAGCCAGCGAAGGCAAACAAAGGGGGGGGGGCCCGGAGGGTACTGTGTCTTCCTGCAGCATCTGCATGGAGCCTTGACAGCAGCAGCAAGCCGTGTGCAGCAAGATCTTGCTGCAGCAGCAGCAGCAGCAGCAGCAGCAAGACGTTGCAGAGTCTCACGCTTTCTCTTTTCTTTACAGGGGCCCCCCATGAGGGGCCCCCATTGGGGGGCCCCCTGGGGGCCCCCCAAATAGCCATAGGGTTANTACAGGGGCCCCCCATGAGGGGCCCCCATTGGGGGGCCCCCTGGGGGCCCCCCAAATAGCCATAGGGTTATAGATGAACTGTTTAATATAAACACACGTTTTATGTTTTTTATATATTGTATTAATATTACTCTCCTCACTATCAACTGCTCTATTGGCTTACGGGGCCTCCTGGGGCCTCCTGCTGGGGGGCCCCCCGCCGGGGGGCCCCTGCTAGGGGCCCCTTGGGGGGCCCCCCAGGGGCCCCCCTAAGGGCCCTGTGTTTCTTCAGGGTTACCGCCAGAGGGGAGGAGTATCAACTGGAATTTAGGGTTTAGGGTTTAGGGTTTAGGGTTTAGGGTTTAGAAGATATAGTCAAGACAGAGGGTTTAACACACACCCTTGGGGGTCACTGAGGCTGTCCCTGTATATCTATTGTCTCTAAACCCTAAACCCTAAACCCTAAACCCTAAACCCTAAACCCTAGGCCCTATACGTCGCTCCAGGGCCTCCCTCTTTAGTGTGTACTCTGCAATATATAGCACACAGGCAGCCAGAGCGAAGCACGCAGGAGTACACCACTTCTAGGGTTTAGGGTTTAGGGTTTAGGGTTTAGGGTTTAGGGTTAGGAGACGGCAGGCCTTTAGCCAGTCT